ACCTGGGTGTAGTAGGGTTGAGGAGGGACAATATTTGCCAGACTGATCTCGCCTTCTCTTGTCTTTTGTCATTAATGTTCAAACTGTTTTTGCTGTAGGAGCCGATCTTGAGCTCCGGCTATATCTGTCAGTTCAATGACCTGGAGGTGAGGGCTGTGCTGTTGGATGAGATCATGAAGGTAAGTCGAAAAACTGAAATTGAAATCCCAAAATATTTGAATGGTTCCATCGAGGGCAAATGTGCGGATAACTGAGGACTAGTCTCCAATCTTGGTCATTTCTTTGAAACGCTGTAGTGGAGGATGTGTTGTCGATATATCACCTTCACCTTAGGGACCTTACGCATATACAACAGTGACGGCCAGGACGACGCCTGTTAGAAAATGTTTTAACATTTTACTGCCGCATTTCGTAGTTATCAAGATTTGTTCAGCATTTCTGTCGGTCTAAAAACCTGCCCTGCTGAATATGCTACGAATGCGCTCGGTTCCAAATAGAAATGCGGCGAAAAATTAGAGCCGTGTTGTTACATGTTCGTCAACGAATTTGGAAATTGGTCATTTTATGTTGTTGATTTCCAAAGGACGGCTACGAAATGTATCAAGGTACATAATACGCGTCCAATGCAGTGGCGAATCTAGGGGAAGGACCCGGGAGGCCCGCACCCCCCCTTCCCACCCCTTATCTGCCCCCCACCTTAGCTCAAGGTCTAGCTAAGGTCTGGATCCGCCACTGCATTGTGCTTATTGATTCTTTAGTTTGGTGACGTCCTGGTTGCCGGTACCGTCGTGTTTTGCGTTAAGTCCGTCAGCAGAATTTACATGTGGACCTTGGGCATGGAAGAGTTCAAGGATGCAATTCAAACCTTGTTTTTCTTTTTAAACAGGATCCCGACCATCCAAACAAAGAAAACTTGATGGACTTGGAAGTTAAGGTAGGATAAAGAAACCTCCAACAGTGGTAATATGTACCTTTAACCACTCGCTGATACTCAGTGAGTAGCGATAAGTGAATAAAGATGACTCCGAAAGTTCTGATCCTAGCAGTTTATGCCTGTCACATATTAACTCAGTGGATAGAGCGCCCGCCTGGTGTTCGGGAGGTCATGGGTTTTATTCCTGTCGGGGACTCAGATTTATTCTTTGTCCCACGCTCGAGTCATGTTGATCAGATCACCTTTCACATTTCATTACCGAGCTTAAAATACACCATTTTTATTCACTTATCAACACATTTTTTTTTTTACAGTCTCTGCGCGATGCTGGTGACCTGCTGGAAAAAGTTGGCATTCCTGATGCGTACCAGTTTATCGAAGATAATCCTCACCCTAGATTATGGTATGAGTGTAAATCATTTGGTAAAACGCAGCTATAACAGCTCTCTTCCTTTCATACATGTACCTTGACATATTCCCCTTGGTTATCGAAAAACTGCTGAATCCACTGGAAGAACCAATTCTCACTTTTTCTTTTAATTCCACAGAACGAATGCTACTTGCAATGCGATAGTTACATTACCTACATTTAGATACTTCACGGAAAAACTCTTTCTTACATTACGTTACATTATTTACATTACGGTTCTTATACAATACAATATTTACACTACTTACATTGTTATACTTAAACCACTTGCTAAACAAAACCTGCATTTACATACTTACTTACAGCTTAAAAGAAAAATTACTGATTTACATCACATGTTAAAAATTTGTTTGCATGTGGTCAAATCCAAATGACCCAACTCAGCCTCCCAGACATCAACAAAAAGCGGGCAAAAAGACGCCAAAATCCTCACAATGATGGAAACTTTTGACTGATTTTACTATGACTTGTTCAAAACACATTAATTTGTTTGTAAATAGAAACGTTGTTTGGAGTAGAAAATTTGGAATTTGGAGTTTTTAGTTTTTAGGCGGTAAGAATGAAGCGTCAAAAGAGACGTTCTCTGCATTTGCAGACTACAGTTTTAAGAGTGGGTTCTTTAATTCCGGGTACAATGGACAAGTTTACTTGGAGAAAATTTAATGATTTTCTACTTCACTGTTCACTCGCGTTACCGTTACACGTACCTCTGTCATTGCAGGCGCCTGTTGGCCGAGTCATCCCTTGAGAGACTGGAGCTAGAAGTAGCGGAGAAGGCTTTTGTTCGTTGTCAGGATTATCAAGGAATCAAGTTTGTCAAGAGGCTCGCTAAGTTAGACGTGAGTTTAGTTTGGTTCTAAACCTTTGTGTCCTGAATAACGAGGTATCTCTCTGTGCATGTTCAATTCCTTTCCCGGTCGAGACACTTCTGGGACTGGAGCCGAATAATTCCAAACTGATGACGTAGCTCTACTGAGATCCATGTTCTTGATTGGCTACTCCATGCAGCAACCAATCAAAGAACAGCAAAAGTCCATGTTCGCGTTGGTTTCAGGAGTCGGTACAAAGTCAACTTTTGACCTTGCAAACATGCCAGCAAATCCTGAAATCTGGAACCTTCGATTCTTCTTAACGCTCGATTATTCGAAGCAAATTTGCCGTTCTTGGCAAAAAAAAGTTTGGTGGTTTGTTTTGACTTTGTCAAAGCGCTTAATTGGGAACACAGCCCCTTTTGTTTGCGGTCATGTATTTTGGCAGTTTCAAGTTTATCCTGGCTCCACTTATTGTACTCTTGGCGTTTCAAACGTCGTTTGCGGCCTCTCGTTGATTGTAACCTCCCAATTTCTTGGACCAATTTCTGTTCCCCTTTATTAGATGGTTTGAATTCTACTGTATTTACAAAGACCCGAATGCCGTTTGTAAAGGTAGAAGTCAAAGGTACATTGTGACTATTCCACTCCTCCAGCCATACAAATTACCTTAAATTAGGAAGTGCAAATGGTCCAGATTCATCAACACTCAACTTACTTTACTGGAACTTTACTGAACTCTACGGTTGAGCAGCTATGATAATTTCATTTTACCAGTCAGGGTATGGTTGCCGAGCTTTACTTAACAGAAAGGGATATGAAGTGTTTAGCATTCTCAGATGTTTCCATTCATTTACAGAATGAAACTAAGAAGAAAGCCGAAGTTGCTGCATATTTCAAGCGATTTGAGGAGGCAGAAAGACTCTACCTGGAAATGGACAGAAGGTAGTGGTCATGGTGTTATGATGGCGTGGAACCGAGAAGTGATTAATAGATAATTTNCGGTCATGTATTTTGGCAGTTTTAAGTTTATCCTGGCTCCAATTATTGTACTCTTGGCGTTTCAAACGTCATTTGCGGCCTCTCGTTGATTGTAACCTCCCAATGTCTTGGACCAATTTCTGTTCCCCTTTATTAGATGGTTTGAATTCTACTGTATTTACAAAGACCCGAATGTCGTTTGTGAAGGTAGAAGTCAAAGGTAAAATGTGACTATTTCACTCCTCCAGCCATACAAATTATCTTAAATTAGGAAGTGCAAATGGTCCAGATTCATCAACATTCGACTTACTTTACTGGAACTTGACTGAACTCTACAGTTGAGCAGCTATGATAATTTCATTTTACCAGTCAGGGTATGGTTGCCGAACTTTACTTAACAGAAAGGGATATGAAGTGTTTAGCATTCTCAGATGTTTCCGTTCATTTACAGAATGAAACTAAGAAGAAAGCCGAAGTTGCTGCATATTTCAAGCGATTTGAGGAAGCAGAAAGACTCTACCTGGAAATGGACAGAAGGTAGTGGTCATGGTGTTATGATGGCGTGGAACCGAGAAGTGATTAATAGATAATTTCTCCCTACTTGTTAGTAACAAATTCAATCGGATGACTACTGAGAACCAAGGACTTGATAGTATTAGATCGATATGCATATTTTCCTTTCCCTTACGTACACTCTCTTTGGGCTCGTCAGGTAATCTTCGCCCGAAGATTGCGTGACGAACACAAAATGCGTCTGCGTTGGAGGCTACCGGAGTTTTTCACTGATCGTGACTTAAAGATCAAAGGTCAAAAAAGATCAAAGATCTAAAAAATTTAAAAATAAGTTGTGATTAAGTAATAACAAATGATGATATAGGGCTCATAAATAGTTTTATGTTACTGAACTTGCGTGCGGTTCTTATTGGGAAAGTATTGCGAACGAGCTAATTCAATAGAGTAGATATGATGGAGGCTTTTTCACAGCTTTGCTGAAAAATTAACGCATCCCCGCGACCCACTCTCTGTAAAAGCGCGGGGAAAAGTCAAACATTACTTACTTTTTTCCTGGTCCGTTTTGGTCAAAGGTGGACTCTAATTGTCCGCCAAGTATGAACGATAAAAGATTGCTACTTGAAAACAAACTGTTTTCTTATGTGCAATCATCTAAAAAAAAAAAAAGTAATTCGTCGAAACTAACTCATAAACGGTCCATCTTAGGGGTCCGTATTGCAAAATTTGGACCGCTCGGTGAACCAGTAAGAATTCTCATTTCACTTTGACAAGTTTGCCATATATTTAAAGTTATCATTGTTATTAGAACTCGCCAATACCTCCTTAAGTATCAGATATCTCAAGATTGCGGAACCATAAATGCTATAAATTCTGGTATTAGACTTTGTACATTGAATGTTTCAGAGACCTTGCTGTTGACTTGAGGCTGAAGCTTGGAGACTGGTTCAGAGTCGTTCAACTCCTTAAGACCGGAGGGGGAGGGGGTAAGTACGCTTGGGGAGGGGGGACCAATGTCTGTCTTTGGCAGCGCCGGCGGCTGCGAATTCAGGTTATAAAACGCAAGGTTTTTCTGTAGTCCGTCAATGCCAGTAGCTCGGTAATTGTGAGAATTAAACATCCCAAAGAAAAAGACAAGAAAAGGAAGTCCGCTCTCCGCTCTTTTTCTTTGTACGCACGCTTTCATTTTGAATTAAAACCTCCCAGCGGTGTGTTAAAGGAGCATTGTCATCAGGAGTTATGAAGCATTTTTTTGCGGTGTACTATACCACCTTTAAATTGAAAAAACCTCAAAATAGTACTTTGTCATTACTTTGCTAAGTTAGGAAAACACCAAGGAGACCCAAAACGGAACGAGCTTGGTTAAGGATGACGAAGATTAACACGGATTACAAACGAAGAACTTGGAAGCTCTAGGCTAAACTTTTCAAGGTTCACGAACCATGAAATAGTTGGTTCAAAATTGGCACCGCGTCAACTGTGACGTCATATACCGTGACACGTGATCTAGCTCGTTTAATTTTTCAGGTGATGATCAACTTCTGGAGCAGGCCTGGAACGCAATTGGTGATTACTACGCTGACCGGCAAAAGTGGCAGAACGCGGTCACATATTACGTCCAAGGAAGGAACCAGGCGCGGCTGGCCGAGTGTTATTACATGCTGGAGGACTATAATGGGCTGGAGAAAATGGTCAACACCTTACCAGAAAATCATATCCTGTTATCGGTCAGTATACATAGCAATCGTGTTAGTAGTAGGCTCTCAGTTATTTACTATTAGCGTACCATGAAATTCAAATTGACGTGTCTGTAGAAGAAATAAGTTTTTGTTTGTTTGGTTGGTTGGTTGGTTGTTGTTGTTTTTTTTTTGTTAAGGAAGATTTTCTGTTTCGCAGGAAATTGCTGGAATGTTCTCTACAGTTGGTATGTGTGAACAGGCAGTGGCTGCTTTTACCAAGGTACACACGATCAATAAGTCCTTTTCATTGGCGACCGTTATAGGCTGTACCCTCAGCACTCTTCCAAGTATTTTTCAGACTTTTTAGGATCAGTATAGGCTGAGTTTTACATTTTTCTCAAGTTTGTAGTCGACGCACAAACATCAGCAGCATTCAACGTCAGGAAAAAAAAAAGAATTTTCTTTATTGTCTATATTTTTCCGTTGAAATTTGTTATACTTAGTCATCCGATCATAACCTAGGTTGTCGGAAAAAGTGCTTTTCAACCGACTGTCTAAAGTAAAACAGAATGCTCTGGTTTTGGTACACTACACTGAATGATTCCCTTAAAATACACTTGCTACTTTTTAACCAATCAGACACAAGAACAAAACCAACTGCGACTTGGTCACGTGGGTTTTCTCGCGCTTTGCGTCTGTGACGTGTATCTGATTTGAGTTCCTGTTAGTTTATTATGTTACTTACTTGCGCTGACGTTTTGGGTGCTCGACTCTCTTTTGAAACTGCTCTCATAGTTTATATAAACCTGTAAGCAAAATTATAATTATATGATTATATGATCTTTTCTCCGAATGGAACATCCATTCTTACATTTAGTAGACATTGACAGTACACTCCACGTAGAGTGCCCTTTAATAAATTATTTATTTATTTATTACACAAATAGAGCAGTTTTCAGTAGGCCATTTCTGAGTTGCCTTTTGCCTCTATGTCAAAACGAGTCTCCGTGCAAAACCATTCATTGAAAATGTGTTCCGCTTACATGTTCATTTTCATGCAAATCAAACTCATTTTCATAAGAAAGGTTTTACACGAAGAATTGCTTTGAAACAGAGGCATGAGTTAACTCGGAAATGACCTATCGAGTGTCAAAGTAATTGGCTTTGCACTACAACGCTACACGATTGGCTTAAATAACTCGCGCCACTTTTTCATCCAATGAGAAAACTTTCAACCAAAACCAATCGTGACTCGCTCACACTCGTTTTCCCGCGCTTTGCATCAGCTACATGTAATTACTTCGAGTTTTGATTGGTTTACTGGATTGTCTGTGTCCTTTGTGATTGGCCAGAGTGATTACTTTGGTTTTGGGTTTATGACACTCACCGCTCTATATGCACTCTACTAATTTCTCCCTGTTATTTTCCAATATACTGCGCCTTTAGACAGGGAAAGTGAAAGAAGCTATTGACTGCTGTGTTCATCTTAACCAATGGGACCAAGCCATTGAATTGGCCAAGCAGCATAACATCAAGGAGATCGATACTCTGCTTGCCAAGTACGCTTCTTACCTGCTAGACAAGAAGAAGACGTTAGACGCTATTGAACTGTATCCTTTTACATGCGTTGATTTCTAATCCAACTCAATATGCTTTAAATATAACCATCTTTATTTCCTTTGTGTATATACTTGCCTTTCTGTTGTTTCTCTGCTTTAGTAAACTATGATTTAAAGGTTGCCAGTGATTTGAAGGTAATATTGTATTGGTGACAAACGACTTAATTCCGTTATCGTGCAATACCAATCGTGACTTGGTGGCGCGCGTTTCCCGCGCTTTGCGTCAGCCACATGAAGTTAATTCGAGTTTTGATTGGTTCATTGGATTGTGTTTGTTTTACGACACTGGCAGTGTTGGTTTTACGACACTCAATTGACAACCGCGTGGGTGTGAATAATACAAAAAGCACTTATCAGATTCGTACTTACATTGCCTTTAAGATTTCTCAATAACAATAAGAAAAGGCTTCACTGGCTGGCATGACAACTTAAAATACCATACGCTACAACTTCTGCGAATTTTTCTTGTTCAGCTGCAAAACTTGACCAAGCCTCTGGGCATAGCGTCGATACAAAACGTTTTGGTATGGCGAGAACAGAAACACCTATACAATCGATATCAGTTGTAACACCAAAGGTTGTCTGTCAGTTTTGCTATGATGCCTTGACAATGTTTAGCTACCGTAAAGCAAATCACTTTATTGATGCTGCGAAACTCCTTTTCAAAGTAAGTGTCAGCCTGTCTTCCATGTACTATTTGATATTACGGAGAAAAGAAACCTGAATGTTGAGTAGCTTTGTTCGCACATTGAATCGCAGCATACTTCTTTTATTGGCTTAAGTATTCGATTACTTGTACTCTTTGTGATGGTTGTCCAATGTAGACATCCCATCACGTAGCAAACAACTTCATGTAAAATGGAGCCAAGTGTTCCCCACCGCCAGGGCTCATGTTGGTTTTCATTGCATAAAGAGAAAGGTAATGCACTGTGAGGAAAATGCCTTGACAAAGACCAGAGCACAATGACCTCAGTTGAGGCTCAATCAATCCATCAAAAACATTATCAACCAACACTTTAACATCAGTCAAAGGCTCGAACTCAGACCGCTCGACGCAAGCAAACCATTGGGCCAATGCTCCACTTAGTGGAAGTATTCTTTCTATGAAATTAATTTTCATCTTAATTCCACTCTATTGCAGGTTGCCGGTGAAGTGGCAGACGCCAAGACTAACCCACTTCGTGCCAAGAAAATGTATGTTCTGGCAGCTTTGCTGGTAAGATTGGAAATTCTGATTTTAATTCATAGCGGCTTAGTTCATAAGTTATTAGAAAGAATACTAACTTGCGAATAGAGACACCTCTTCGAGCCTCAGTTAGTGAACATCTGCTTACCCTTTCCACTGTTCTTTACCAATATTTTGCTTTACCGTTGTGTGTTATCGCGTTACGGTTGCCGTGTGTTACTCGTGTGTTACCGTTAACGTGTTTTACTTGTAGGTGGAAAATTACCATGAGCACGTGAAGATGACGAAGATGAAAACTGCTTCTGGAAAAGAGAAGAAGAGTACAAGGGAGGTGGGTATGGACTACCAGTAGTCTCTCTCTTGTTTGAAAATTCGCGGGGGAAGAACGTAACTGAGGAGTAACCCAAAACAACATGAGCGTGCGAGCGTGGTATGCAAAGCCCCAGTAGCGCGGGTGTCGGAAGACGTGTGTAAAGAGAGAAGGAGTTAAGGAGAATTTGCTTTCCGTATAGGGGGATTCATACTGAAGTCATTGTTTACATTTTTGCTTATTTGCATACGACTTTGCGTAAAGAAGGAAACATGTTAGATATGAATTGACACCAGGCGGCTAAATAGCTAGTGAAACCTAATACATGGTAAACCTTTTCAGCTCCTTGGGTGTAATATTCAAGGAGATTGTCTTTCAAAAACTGCAAAATTTCTGGGTGGCAAAAGCGCTAATGAGTTCATACATTTTTTGTAAAAATTTGAGTTTATAAACCCGTGTTACACAAAAAGTATTCAATACATCAGGCTCATATTCATTGGCAGATTTAATCGTACTATGACCTTTTAATATTCAGAACCGATTTATTTGTTGCTCCATTAGAAACTGAATTGCTTACGTTAATGAGGCAAATATTGTAAACAAGGATTCCCCTATAAGAAGTAACTTGTTACATTCTGTAGCTTAATTTTGGACTAGACCTTGCGTTAAGGATACCCAAAACATAAACACTTGACTTATCTTTTTACAGTTTTTTAGTTGCTATAGAATGAGGGCTCTTTTAGCTTGTCAAAGTGTAAACACGCTCATTCTGTAGTCACCAAAATGCACAAAAAGTGTTAAATGTTTGCTAGTGTTCTGTGCACTAAATCTCTGACTTTTTCTGCTTTTAACCGTTCTCATTTTATGTGTTGTCTTACAGGAAATTTATTCTGAGGTAATGTCAGTCGAGTGGCAGGTAGAACTTGATTTACGAAGCTAGTATCCACTTAGTTGATAAGAATGCGCAGATGCAGATATGGATAAGTGCTAGGACTAGATACATGTAGAATGTATCAGATACAAGAGAGCAGTTGATTTCAACTCCTTGTATTTATAAAAGTATCTTTAGACCAGTTGAAAGAGGCCTTATTATAGTAATAGCAAAAGAAAGCGCTCATAGCTCTCGGCAATTAACTCTGGTTTCAGTACCATGAAGCGACTAGGAGTGTTTCTACGTCTTCCTGGATGACATGCTAGTCCATCGCAGGGTTACCCTCAGCATTAACTTCGCCGGTACCCATTTATACACCTGGGTGGAGAGAAGCACTGTGAGAGTAAAGTGTCTTGCCCAAGAACACAACACAATGTCCCCGGCTGGGGCTTAAATATGAAGTTTGCAGCTGAGGAAAAAGCAAACATTTAATACGTGGCTAATATCGTTGTTATCGATGCCAGTTTGAATTTGACGTAGTACAAGATTTTGGATCTACAGAAATTGTACTTTTCGTCGTTTTTCCCTGTTTTCCAAAGGGCGGAAAAACAACAACCGCGACCAGTATGGGTACAAACCGATATGGAAACAGTATCTTGCAAGGCCATGGATGGATTATAAGGCTAGGAAACACTGAGGCAGCTAGAGCGACTGAAACAGTATAACGAAACAACAAAACAACTCCTATTTCTTGCCAGTTTTCATCGCTTAGTTAATTACAGCGTCACCGTGTTTATCTTTAAACAGGCGACATCTGCCTTAGCTGGCTTGCTGGAAGAGGACGCCATTGCTACTGATGAGAGTAAAATCATCGACAACGCCTGGAGAGGAGCTGAGGTAATTAAATCATTTTTGTTACGTACCAAAATTTTCGATCAAATCGTAGGGAACTGCTAAATTCCAAGTTTAGTAAGGTAGAAAAACATCAAAGAAGTAATACTGAATCCAAACGGAGCATGGATGGGTAAGAATGGGGAAGATTGACACGGATTACGAATGGCAAAACTTGAAATGTCTCAAGTTGCGCAATTCAAGTCCTAATTCTTAATTCCTTGTGGTGCAAAACGTCTTTACTCAGTTTCAGTTAATTTTTTTAAAGGAAGGTTACCGGTAATTTAATAGTTCGTCTTCCTTTTGCAGGCATATCATTTCTTTCTCTTGGCACAAAGACAAATGTACGAGGGAGCCATCGATGCTGCAATGAAAACGGTGAGAAGCGAAGCACATAGAAGACCATCTAACCTGACTTTTGCGAACGGGGCGCGGGAATGGTACCACTTAAGGACCTACGTAGCATTCGATTTCTAATTATAACCGGTTATCAAATGGTGGGCTTTCGAAAGGAAGTTTTTGGGGAAGGAAGTAGGATCTCCTTCTCTTTTTCTCCCCCATTCCTCCTCCCCTCCCTCCCCCCCGCCCCCCTCACACCCCTCCTAGGAAGGCCTGATGCTCAGGATAATCAAATCGTGTTTGCTATGGTAGTATGTTAGTACTCTTGTTGAGCTAAGCGAAGCCTTAGAAGAGTACGGAATGGTATGTTGTATGAGTGAACATGACACAGCAAGTTAAACCCGTCCATGTCAGTCAAAACCCGGGCAGTATCTGTCGAATAACGCTTATACATGTATAGCTATCGTTTTTTGGTTCCCTTAACTGTATCGTATTTGTTTTTCTCCCCAGGCCCTGCGCTTGTGTGATTACGAAGACGTCCTGGATCCAGTGTGCATTCATTCTCTTCTCGCGTTAGTCAGCTGCGCGAACAGGGCTTTTGGAACTTGCTCCAAGGTGAATATTTAAATGTTTTCTCTATAAGGTTTATTACTTTAAAAAATAACCTCAAAACGTCTTGCTTCTTTTATTTCGAGTCCATCGACAGATATTTGAGCTTGCTTTCTTTGTTTTTGTAGGCCTTTATAAAGCTGGAGTCAATTGAAAGCCTGAGCCAAGAACAAAAGACTGCTTACGAAGAACTGGCCTTGGAAATATTTACAAAGTACGTCAATCTTTTGAAGTGATTTTTAATTATTACTTTGTGAACTGTCCGCGAACTGTCTGGTTGACAAATTTTGACTCTGATAGTTACGTTGGTTTTGCTTTTTCTTATCCAATTTAAACAATTCTTAGTTTATAAGTTAAAGAAATGAAAATCATGTCGCGCCTTTGTGAAAGCTTGGATTTGCTTGGAATTTTGGTAAAACTAACAGAAAGATGTCTAGTTATGTTTCATAACTGAGTATTTTGAAAACAACTAGTAAGGCGTCTAGCCCTCTTTGCAAGTTATCGCATGAAAGATTCATATCTTTTCTGGCTAGTTCTTTTCGATAACCCTTACTCTGTTTAATATCATTATTTGTAGGCATTCTCCTAAAGATTCTCGTGGCAACAAGGCGGAGTGCACTACCTGTGAGACTATGATTCCTGATTGGTATGTTGCCGTTTTTTCTTTTTGGTTTCGTTGTTAGAGTCGAACCTACGGTAAACGGCTACAAAAATGATCAATTAAAGAAAAGTGAGGTTGTGCTACTTTAAGGAACAAGAGAGAAAGTTTTTTTTTTGCCCAAGAGTATGGAAATGTGGGAAAACACCGTACCATATGCACCAAGAATGTTATTATCATGCACTTATATTTCGTTTTATAAGTTTTATATCCTCCACTTGGTGTAATAGGGCTCTGTGCACATGTGGGCCTTGTATCAATTGAATTTACTTTTTGCTCATTAGTCCTGTGGTACATGTAGAAACGTAGTAAGAGAGAAAACAATATACTTCTGAAGTGAAAACAAGTTACGTTCACAGACATGAGTGATCAAACTGAACTTGCTTACACTTTTTGTGCTGGCTCGAAGTACCCCTCCGTTACTGATTTGGAGCTAATTAGAGAAATCCTCAACTGCTTTGTATCAAATTTCTCCGTACCCTGAACGTGTGTTTCCAGTTTATCCCTATAACCTTTCACTTCAGACAATATTTGGCAACTTGATTCAACATTCAGCGTTTCCTTTATAAATCTAAGAATTTGATTTCATCAATAATTTTTCTCCGCACCTTCCTAGGAGTCAAGCTTGTCCAAACTGTGACACCAAGTTTCCGACATGCATTGTGACCGGTCGTCCACTGATGGACTATCAGTTCTGGATGTGCGGCACGTGCAAGCACCGAGCCTACGAGCAGGAGATCAGCAAAATCAAGCACTGCCCACTTTGCCATGCGCCGGTCTGATCTCCCATTAAAACTCTTTGTATTGACGTCATACCCAGCTACCTATTAGTCAGGCGCGTTGAGCAGGATCTGGGTACGAATCTTCTAACGGTTTCACTTAAAACTGCAAGACTCGTTGATTTTAAAATATGGAATTTTTCCTCATTATGCCATTTCATAATCAAGCTTACAGTTCGTGAGGATTGAAATGGTGATTGCCAATCGAAAAGAAGAAACAAATTCGCCCAACTATAAGTGTAAGAAATGTATGGAGATCGTAATGAAAATCTGTTAAGCTAAGGCCTGTAAGGGTAAAACTGTGACACTTATTTATTCTTTCATGTTGCTTCTTGTGCGCCGTTTTCCCGCCTTGCAAATAGTCTTTTCAACTGATTCTACTGTCCTTACTTGTTCTGAGCAAGTTTTATAAAATGTTTTTCTATCTGTCCTCAAAATATACCAAGTAACGTATTCATTATCAAAGCATTGAATGAAAGAAACAAGCTCTGTTGTATTTATAGAGGAACAATCCGGCGCGGTGTAGGATCATGGTGAAAGCCGAGTCATTCTCGCCAATTGTAAATAAAGATTTCATTTACATGTTGGATAAAGGATCTCAGTTCTTGGACAGTTAAGGTGAAAACTAAAAACTAAAATTACAGAGAGTGGACCAAGTGTTGTTTTCATCCAAAGCTATCGAAAAGTCTCCGCTCGCTTCTTGACCAATCGGAAAATAGCGCCAGCACTCGTAAGTTCTCTGGAAGTTTTCGTATTAATATGGCGCCGCCTGGAGGCGTCATTTGCTTAGCAACATCTCTGGTCAAGCGCGGGCTCGGCTGAAGACAGCACCTGTCCTCTAATATGTCTATGATCAATGACTGGTGACGTAAACTTCGTGACGTCATTATGCCCTTGTACTCGTACCGTCGCACAGTGATTAGGATGTGAATTTCTTTCCCGTGGAGCCAGCACTGTAGTTGATCGATATACCTTTCTTGGAAAGTACTTCTCAGTCTTGTATTCTAAGAGTCAGTGTATACTTACCAGTTACAAACTAAAATCATTGTTAAATTTATCATTAAGTGGTGGTTATATTTTTTGTGCTATGTATCGTCCCTTTTTCCTGTTAAAACATCGAATGTCAATGACCTTGTTTTTACCTGCGTGACAACAAAGAATACCTACCTTTTTTACTTGTAGCAGGTCCACAGTAGGTTTCAGCTGTCATTCTTGTAACAACCTACTTACCAAATAACGTATATTTATGTTCTCTCATTTACCGAAGCTCTTTAGATGCTCCGCTTAAGAAGCAAAACAGAAACAATCTACATCGATTGAAATACCGGTGCATAAAGACAAAACAGCTAAAAGCAATTACGACTTTGAAGTACAAAAGCGCTGTGTTGCATCGTCATTGAGTAAATAAATAACCTTGTTACATTCTGCTTCGTATCTGTATCTTGTCTCGAACATAAAATTCATTCATATTGTCAGCAGTGCACAGTAGCCAGCTGTTGTTCTGCTCCTTTAAAAAGAGCACAGTCACGGCATTTTGAGTTATTTCGGACACGTACAAAATTACCTTTAAATTGAAATAAAACTTGAAAATGGTAGTTTACTGAGATAGAAAAACTCGAAAAAGAGAATAATAAGCCGTAAAGCAACATGGATGGTTAAGGATGGAGAAGATTGGCACGGATTACAAACGACGATTACAAGTTGCGCCAACCGTGACGTAGCTCCTTTACGCCCACCAAACGCACGAACACCAAAAGAAGCAACAGATGAGAAAATCCACAGATAGCTCCCCTCTTTGTGCTCTGTAAATCATGTTTTCATCAACTTCTTGCGAGTTGCCTTCGGTGTGAACAATGTCCACGCTGCTATTCTTTTGTTTCGGCATGAAATACCGATTCTTCAACCCCAACACTGGTGTTTTCCTCCTAGTTCACTGAACCAATGATCAAGACTTATTTTCTGCGGAAATCGATGCTCGACTGCCTGAAGGAGTTAGCTTTTCTCTCCAGCGGAGACAAGCTTAGTAGAAATGAATTGGTACCAGCAAGTTACCTGCTGTTATTAAATACGATCCTCCGGACAAGGTAACATTAGACTGGCGTCTTCAATAACCTTGCATTATGAATGAGATGACAAACATTTAGCTGGAACAAGTTACTATAATGCTTTGTCATGGTAATCAGATGCCAGTTTGTAATACACTCGTTTAATTATACATATATCGGCTACCCAAAGCGACAACTAAAAATTAGCTTTTCGCTTGTAATTTCAGAATCAACCAGACAAAGTGAGCAGAAATATTTCCTTGCGAGAATGCTGTTCAAATAAATCGATTCATAATAAATCATTAATATTGAAAATATAGAAATCATCTAAGAATTCTCTTTGTGGAAATGTGTTACATAATAAATCATTAATATGGAAACCAAAGGGAGATTCTGTCAGTAGTGAGGCCTTAAAATGAGTTTTGGCACGGCAATATTGTAAGTATTGCCAACTTCAAGCAGAGGCTGATAAACAAAGTAGCATCTGAGCCAACACATGACTCTGCAAGGGGCCCTACCCTATCTTCCCCTGGCAAAAGATCTGACTTCAAGTAGACATTAGTGTTTCTCTCCCAGAAAAAAGATACCTAGAACAGAACATAGTAAAAAACAAAATAATAGTTAGAATTGGCACTCCATAATATAGGAATTATCTATAGCGTCTTAAAATTAGTTTTGGAAATAACAACAGCAGCTGTAGAGAAGTGAAAGTTTGAGAAAAAGCTCTTCAACCCGTATTCACACAGCATTTCTTGTTCACCGAAGTTTCCTCTTGTGTTTCTATTTAAAACAGCGTGGGTCAACTATCACGCATAGAAATCAAGAGCGAATAATTTCATTGTTTTGACGGTATTAATCTGCTGGTCGTTCAAAACTTTATCTAAATTCTCTTCACAGACACTTCGAAAAAGCAAAAGAGCGGCCGTCATTTTGTTAACCTCACACTATCAGGATACTCACTAACTACAACAGAATATATAGTGAGTAGCGTAGTCAATAAGAGAACGGTATCCTTGATGGAACGCTAGTTATATACTAAAACTCGATAGAAACGCGGAACTTTCTTTCTATTTTTTAATTATGAAATAAAACCTCTCTCAATCGCGGATATAGGCTCGATTACAAGCCGCTGTTCGGGGGAGTATCCCGCGCTCCTCCCCCAAAGGTTCCTCTCGGTGGTGGGAATCGAACCTATGTAAGATCCTTCTTTCTTCATTCCGGTCTTGTTGAACGGCGATGGATTTACCACATTCTAGAACCCAAGTGCGTTCGTTTCTTTCAGTGAATTTGGGCTACTGTTGAGGCCCGTAGACTAAGAATCGTGAGGCTCTGGGAATGAGCTATATGCAGACTCGTATCCAGTCGCAATTTACGTGTTTGGGGAGAAGATAAGATTGGACAC